GCCCGAGGACGCGGAGCGGGAGGAGGAGCCCGACGAGGACCGCGAGCCGGAGCGGCCGCGGCGGGGCTTCGCCATCGGCGGCGGCGGCGAGCGGGCGTGCGGACGGGTTCTGGACTCTGGACAGGGGCTAGCTAGGGTTTTGCTCGGGGGGATATGGATGGATGGGGTAAAGGGAGAGAGGGAGGACGGGGCGTGGTAATTGGATTTGGAGTGGGGTTTCCCTCCGGACCCACCCGCAGGGACACATGGCGGTCCAGTTTTCTCTTTCTTCCTCTCTTGCACAATTCTTGCAGAATTGTAGAAGCGTTTCCACATGCTTTGATTTTATGATGAAGATTTTGAACAAATTTGTTTTAATTTTAGAGAAAGGCTGCCGCCTTCAAAACAGGGCACCAGCCCGCGTTTGATTTTGGTATAACCTTTCGAGAAAAAAAAAGTCTGTGGCGATGGCTTCGGTTGCGCGATCATTGCAAGAGGGCATGCCATTTTTACCAGCATGGTTACTTAAGGGAAACATATCAGCATTGCGTAGCAAAGCCGACGCATTCTTGCATTTGCTACTCAATTCCAGAGCTGGAGTCAGCAAATTCTGCTCATCCTTCAAATATTTACAGCGCTACCAAAAAAAAAAAAAAAAGTGGCACCACACGTCCGTCCCAGAAGGAACGAGAAAAGGCGTCGGTCGCGCTCTCCCTTCCTTCTCTACATACCGTGTGCCTCACGGACGGCCTGCGTGTCGGCTAGCATCTCTCGAAGATCTTGTAAAGCTTGTCTAGAGAAGCAATCTGCACAGGTTCAAAATACAGCTCAATATCAGAGTGTGTTGATGCCACGTCATCTATTGATAATAAGGTATTTCACACAGTTCTAGTGGTTGCACTTGAAACCATGCCATTTTTTTTCCTTTTTACGACTCATTGTCGAAACAAAGTTGGCATGCCTACTCGCGAACAATGTCGCGTGTAATGTGGCTTGGTGATTGTTTGGGAAAAAATACTTAGCTACTCCCTCCGTTCCTAAATATTTGTCTTTCTAGAGACTTCAACGAGTGACTACGTACGGAGCAAAATGAGTGAATCTACACTTTAAAATATGTCTATATACATCCATATGTGGTAGTTCATTTGAAATCTCTAAAAAGACGAATATTTAGAAACGGATGGAGTACTACTTAGTACCATAATTTTACGACTTTATGATAGGTAACTTTTTAGGCAGCATGCTTGTGTGAGAAAAGGCAATGGGCATTGTGGCGCCAACATTGAGCAGTAAATAGACAGGAGTGCAATGACAGGCTATGGTGCGAGCATAAGCAGATGACTGAACCACCAAACATAAAGGACAACTGAAGCCGGGTGGGGAGGGAACCTGGACGAATGTTCCGTCTGTTGCCATCGACTTAGGGGGCTTGAGGAAAAGTCGCATGGACGGGAACAAGACGTGCTGGATGGTCCACTCGCGTTGAGCCCATGCCGCCTCTGCTTCCGCAAGCAGCTCTTGGTCAATGTCATCTTCATCTGTAATGGAGTACATATTTAGCCCCAATGGCAATTAACTCTGAATGAATATCTAGTTGCAGCATCATATATAATGGATATATTCTTTAGTATGTCTATTACAGTGTCATGTCATCTTGGCGGTTAATGGGAAGCGAAGTGGGAGAAACTGCGGATTCTGTTACCTACTAGGGTGTAACACTAAGCATATATGTTCTTCATGCACTTTAATGGGTATACAACTATAGAATACAGATACCCAA